GCCTCCCAAGTGCTGGGATTAAAGGCGTGCGCCACCACCGCCCGGCAAGCCTGCTTTCTTATAGAATCCAAGACCACCTGCCCAGGGGGTGGCACCTCCCACAGCGAGCTATCCCATCAATTATCCATCAAGAAAATGCTTCATAGTCTTTCCAGTCTCTGGGGGCATTTTCTCAATTAACCCCCCCCACACACATACACACACACACACACACACACACACACACACACACACACACACGACTGTGGCTTGTGTCAAGTTGACAAAAACCAGTCAACACAATCCTGTCTCTGGAAAGTTATAAAAAGCAGGGCATGGTGGTGCATGCTATTAATCCCAGCAGTCTAAAGGCAGAGGCTGGTGGGTCTTTGAGTTCGAGGCCAGCCAGGGCTGTTATGCAGAGAGACCCTGACTCAAAAAAACAAAACAAAAAAGAGCATCACGACCTTGATGGCCTGTTTCTTTGGCTGGAATTGTACAAAAAGCAAAGGTTTATGTAGCTTAGTTTTAGAGACTGGAAGTCCAAATACCATTACCACATTTTAATTAGTTCCCAGATGCCCCATCTTTAAACACTGTAATGGGACTGACTTTTCACTGTGTGTGTGTGAGTGTGTGTGAGTGTGTGAGTGTGTGAGTGTGTGTGTGTGTGTGTGTGTGTGTGTGTGTGTGTGTGTAGTTACAGAGCCCATGTGGAGGTCGGGGACAATACTGATTCTCTCCTTCCCCCGTGTGGCTCCTGAGGATGGAACTTTGGTCAGACTTAGTGAAGAGCGTGTTTACTGGCTGAGGCACCTGGAAGACACCATCTCTACCTTCTTTTATTTTTGCCTTTGCTTAACAGTATTCAAGGCTTTGTGAGTTAAACTTTGTGAATTAGAGGAAGCTATGACAGCAACAGGACCCTGGCCTCCAGGCCAGCCTCTACAGACCCAGGGAGCTCCAGGCAGGGGCACCAGCAGGCTTCAGCTTGCTTCCCTCCAGCCTCCAAGGATGCCCCAGTCCCTGCCTGGACTTTGGTGCCCCAGGGCAGGATGATGCATCTGCCTGTGGGTACCAACAAGTCCCCAAGTGGTGGAGGGCCTGGCGTGCAGGCAAAGTGGCCTGCTCACAATGACCCCAGCCCTGGGATGTGTGCTGTCCCCACTCAACACCTGACAAGGCAGCCGTGAGTTGACACCAGGCCCAAGGATGAGTTTGTTATCTTGATGCATGACACTGTTTGGACCTGTGTTCTAGAAGGAACAGCCAGTTCCAGCCAGCCAGGCTGCACAGGGAGATGCTTTCTCAAAAGAAAACAAACAAAATAAAAAGGGCTAGCCAGCTGGGAGCAAAGACACCTGTCACCACAGCCCCTGGAAGACTGAGACACTGGGATGCTGAGTCCCAGGTCAACCCTGGCCGCACAGTAACATCCCACTTCAAAGCAGCCAGAAGAAAATATGAACACCAATTATTTTTTGAAGCCTCAATTTTAAATAAATAAAAATGCTAATTGCTCTTCCTACCCCAGAGTGGTGTCCATTATTAACTCTCATGAAGGGGATGGCCGTAGCTGTCCACGTTACTTACGCTATGGCTTCTTGGGCTCGCTATCTCGTCTCTCCTTCCCCGCTCTGCTTTTATGCCTCCCAGGACGGAACATTGGGGCTTGTTATCACACAGCAGAACTCTGGCTAAGCTACGCCCCCAGGCCTGTTATATGATATTTTGTTTGTGTTCTGACAAATAAACCTTGCCTGGAGATCAGAGGGTGGAGCTAAACTACTAGTTAGCCATCGAGGCCAGGCAGTGGTGGCACACACTTTTATCCCAGCACTTGGGAGGAGGAAGCAGGAAAATCAGGAGTTCAAGGCCACACAAGATTGAACCAGTTTAAAAGAGGCAGTGACGGCTCATGCCTTTGATCCCAGCACTTGGTTGGCACAGGCCTTTGATCATAGCACTCAGGAGGAGACAGGATCCCACCCATTCAATCTGAGGTTTCGTAGAGATAGGATCCCTGCCCCCCATTTGGTCTGAGATTTCCTAGAAGTAAGAGATCTCTAGTGGCTGCTGCTTGGCTTCTCTGGTCGTCCAGCTTTCACCCTAATGCCTGACTCTGGGTTTTTATTATTACAACTAATCAGGGTCATGCTTCACAGGCCATCCCTGGGGGATTCTAGGTGGGGCTTAAGCCCCCTAACCTTACTTCTGAGCCATGCTTGGGTATTCATCCAGGCTGATGTTGAACTGCTAGGCAATTCTCCTGCCTCAGCCTCTCAGTGAGTTGGCTTCACAGGCACCATGGTGATGCTGGAAGACAGGGTTCATTTTATAATTTTTTATGCTGTAACATGGGTATCACACGATGTCACCATGACATGCTGCTGGGAGATTTTTTTTCTCCAGAATCTATGGGACCCAAACCACTTTAGATTGGGGATTTCAAAAATTTCAGAATACTGGTACAAACTCCTGCCCAGTCAATTGATGTCATTCATGCCTTACACATGCAGCTTGAAAGGAAATGTAGGTACTGAAATTTGTTTCACTTATTTCATTTCTGTGAATAATTGAACTCAGGCCATCAGGCTCTGGAGTGCCTTTACTTACTGGGTCACCTTGAACATTCTAAAACCCCCTCAACTCCCATCAGGAGGCAGGGTCTCACTATGTAGCCTTGGCTGGCCTGGAACTCGCTATGTAGACCAGGCTGGCCTCAAACTCAGAGACCCAACAGCCTCTGCTTCCTCAGTGCTGGGATTAGAGGTGTGCACCACCACATCCGACCTAAATAGTCTTAAAATGTACTCACAAGCCAGGAGTGGAATTCATGGCTTTAGTCCTAGCACTTGGGAGGCAGAGGCAGGCGGACTCTGAGTTGGAGGCCAGTCTATATAGCGAGTTCTAGGACAGCCAGGGCTGTGGTGATATTTTTGTTTTACTCGCTAAAAAATTAAATTTGCCTGAAGAGAGGACAGAACAAGCCACTGGATTAAACATAGAGGCCAGGTAGTGGTGGCACACACCTTTAATCCTAGCACTTGGGAGGCAGAGAGCTGGATTTCTGTGAGTTCAAGGACACACTGGGCCACCTGAGATTGATCCAGTTTAGGGGAGAAACAGAGTCAGACAGTGGTGTACACACCTTTAACACCAGTGTTTGGGAAGCACACATGCCTTTAATCCCAGCACTAGGAAGGTGGGGATAAGAAGTGAAATGGCCGGGCGGAGAAAGGCATGTAAGGTGTGAGGAGACAGGAACTAGAGAGCTTCTTTTGGGCTGAGGACTCAGAGGCTCAGGAGCTGGCGAGGTGAGAAGTGGCTGTGGCTTGTTTCCTCTGATCTTTCAGCATTGACCCCTATATCTGGCTCTGGGTTTTAATTATAAGACAATTTGGGATTTGTGTTAAGCTGGGCCACACAGAGAAACCTTGTCTCGGAAAACCAAAACCAAAGCATCTATGTGCAATGTTCCTCGGAGTGTAACTCGCCACTTGTGGCCTCACAGTGGCACTCAGAAAGCTGTAGGTGGTGTGCGGGCGTGGGTTCTCACGGGTCCCTGGGAAGAAGGCACAGCACACACACCTTTGGGATGTCTCTAGCCTTTCACTGGGGGACTCAGACGCCTTCCAGTTGATTTCCATAGCCTCAGAACAACCTGACGGGGTCTCCAAAGGGACAGTGTCAGATCAAGGACTGTCACAGTTTGCTGATTTTTCCAAACAAGCTTTGCAAAGGCTTTGTGCCCTTGGGAAACTCTCAGACAAGATTCGCATGGAGGGCAACAAGAGAAACAGAAGATGAGTTCAGGCTAGGTGTGGCACTCTGGAGCCAGGCCGGGTGTAACTCAGTGGGAATTCTCTCATGTGGGTTTGGGGCTGGGGTACAGCCAAGTGGCTCAGCCTGGGCTCAGCACACACAGGGCCCAGGACTGAGTCCCGGCACAAGTGGCTGAGTGCTTGGCTTTTGGAGCTTTTGGAGTTCAGCAGGGTCAGGTTCACAGTATCAGTCACTCATCTGGCTGCTATGACTCGGTGGGCTTCTGGAGGAGAGTTAGCTTCCCACCACCCATACTGAGGATCACAAGTCTGCTAACTCAGTCCTAGGGTATCCCACGCCCTCTCCTGGCCTCTGCAGGCACCAGGCAAGCGCGTGCTACAGAGGCGAAACATCCATGCACACATAAAAAATAAATTAAGCAAAAATAGAGGGGGAAGTTAAGGGGGAGGAACCAGAGGGGGGCTATGTGGGTCTTCGTGGCGGAAGCAGCTGTCACCTCCAAGGTCCACACTCTGGCTGATCTATTTGGGTCGACGATCTTAAGTCCCAAAGGTTTCGGTATTCTCCCAAAATAGACGGGGCAGCTGGGAGCCTTACAGCCACCTGTTCACGCGCACGAGTGGGGGCAGTTTCACATCCAAAAGCAACAGGATGTTCAACTGTCGAGCAGCGGTTGTCCCGCGGAGTTTTCTCTCCTGCCGCAGACAGCGGTGGGCTGAGGGCCTCACAAACCACAGCACCTGCTCGGTTAACGGGAAAAGCAGAGTCTGGCCGGGACAGGCGAATGCAGGGAGGGTCGTGCAGGTACGGGGGTGTCATGGGTATATGTGACAGGGCCCCACTCCTTAGCCCAACCTGGCCTCAAACTCACAGCCAGCCTCCAGCCCTTGCCACCCGAGTGCAGGCGAGAGTGTGGCCCAGCGCGCTCGGCTTACGGACTTCATGGTGCTGTAGTTGGCTCACCCTGTGCGTCCGGCTCCGCAGACAACCGCTGCACCCTCAGGAAGGACGATCTGTGCCACCAAGGTGCGCCCCGCACCAGGAAGCACCGTGGACTCCCCGCCCACCACCCTGGAGCGCAGCGTGCATGGGGTTCCGGGAACAACCCGCCCGGCCTCGGCGTGGCGTCACCTGCGCCACTGCGCACGCGTCCAGCGCTCGGGCCCGACACGACGGCGCAGGCGCATTGG